GGGCAGACGGTCCCTGGTTGCTCCGTCGGTCCCTGGTTGCTCTGTCTTGGCAGCTTCTGCATTTATGGTAGAGCCATAAATCCCTCTGTCCCCAGCAGAGCTCTCCCGTGCTAATCCCCACAACCTGGGTGAGGGACCTCGCCTGACCCGTTGCTTCTGTTCTTGCCCTGGTGACAGACACGCCTGGAAATGCATGAATCCCAGGGACTTGCTTTATCTCTTGTTTTTAGATTTCTTACCATAGAAATCTAAAATGCATACATGTACCCTGCAGAGAGAGGGGGGATGGCCACGCTGCAATCCCTTCTCCTCCTTCTTCCTCTTGGGATTTGGGGCATGCATGCACACGTGGCCGGAGGGATGTTCGGGACTTGAACTGTGGTCAGCCATGCTTAATCCAGCGTCTTCACCACCACCGTACCTGCTGGACCAAGGGGCTTGTTCGGACTCACAGATCTTGGGGCGGGAGGCTTACGGCATGGCGGCATACACACAGAGGTTGGTGGTTGGCGGTCCAGCCGTCCCCGGAACACCGACTCTTCACGAGAGCTTGAATTCCCTGGCTTCTAGGCCACGTCATCAATCTGTTGCCACGATGCTGCTTCCAGGGAGCAGTCACGCTATCCAACACCACCCACGAGACTCCGCCACCCCTCCATTCCAAATCCCCAGACGTGAAAGTTCGGGGAGCAAACCATCAACCAAGCCATTCCACCTGCCGGCTGCAGGTGCGAGGAGGCGGAGGATCTGACAGAGTGCTTTTCTGCTGGGCTGTGCCATGGTGCCTAGCGGAGCTACTGGGGTCTCTCATTATTTATTTATTGAGAGGTTTGTGCCTTAGGGCACATGCATTTGCTGGAGAAACAGAGACAGAGAGAGAGAAAGTGAGAAATCACCCCCCCAGGGGGGATGGCCATGCCGCAATCCCTTCTCCTCCATTCTTCTCTCTGGATGTTGGACATGCATGCACATGCACCTGGTGTGAATTTTAAGTTGCTGGGTCTGGGGCTTGAACTGTGGTCATCCATGTGGGAATCCAGCAATGTAACTGTTATGCCATCTGCTGGTTTCTGTAGGGGTCTTCATAAGAGGGAGAGGGCCCAGCAACCAGTCTGTGGCAGTCATGGGACACTCTGGGTTGCTAGCCCCTGGGAAGGTCCCAGCTTTGCACCCAGAGGTCTCCCTGCACACGCTGGGCACACGCATGCCCCTGATCTGGGCTGGCTGAGGCTGGATGTGGAACTCAGTGTGGAGACCAGGCTGAGGCTGCTGTCTCTCCGTCTCTCTCTCTCCTTCGCCCTCTCTCTGTCTCTCACGCTCATGGAAAGACCCACACAAAAACAACTTAAAAGGTAAAGGGGGAAGCAGAGTGCTCAGAGGGAGGCAGAGGAGAAAGACGGACCCGTGTGTACGCGCTCTACCCAGAATTTGTGGAGATGTGGAGCAGGAGACCTGGTGGTTAAAATGCTGGGTTCTCATGTGGGCAACAGCAGTTCTAGTCCCAGACCTGGCAGCTTGCTTTCTCACTTTCCTTGTCTCTCTCTGGTGAACACAAAATAACAATAATCATGAATAAAATTGGATAACTACTTGTTTCTAAAAATGAAAAGACAAAGGAGTGGGACCAGCAGGTGGCATGGTGTTGAAGGCTCTGAAATCCCACATGGGTGGCATGGTGTTGAAGGCTCTGAACTCCCACATGACTGACGTGGGTCAAGTCCCAGACCTGGAGGCTTGAAACTCACGGCAAGTCTGTGTGCATACGTGCCCCAAATCCCGAGAGGACAGTGGAGGAGAGGAGATTGCAGTGTGGCCATCCTCCCTCCACGCCGGGGAAGTGATTTCTCACTTTCCCTCTTTCTGTCTCTCTCTTCCTGGCAAGCACATGTGCCCTATGGCAAAAAAATCTTTAAAAAAAAAAAACA